GGCAGAGGTTACCAGTACAAATTGGTTGGGCTGAGGTGACAATAACAAAAATGATAATGATGTTAATGATAATATTGTCATGGTTGTCAAATATACACCAAATAATTCTACTGCTTTTTAACCTCCTGAACCTTATTATCCATCTATTAAATTTAAGATTTAAGAGTGTGAGGAACTGAAGTGTGGCCTACATACAGGCCCTTAGGATTTAGGGGGTTAAAGTGAATATCAAAATAACATTTGATTGAATCTGATAATGAGATTCAATGTATTACCAAAATATTGATTTGTTAGATTTGTAAGATGTGAATGAAAGAAAGAACAATATATTTTTCTGCTTTTTTTTAAGGGCCTCACCAACCCCTAAGCACCTTCATCAGATTTGTGAGACTTTAGGAAGGATTCTGGATTTTATCAAATGCACCAAGCTAGCTATGGGTATACTATCTGCTTTATGTGTTTTTAGATGATCCTGGATGAGAAGCAACCAGAAGATTTGTTAGTGGTGCCACAACACACCACTCCTTTTGGTAGTGTTTAAAGTTGGTAGGGTTTGACCACAGATAATGACTCTAATAATGAGTATGAGATAATGACATCATGACTTTACACTGACCAATAACATACAACTAGCCATTACAACAATGGTGGCTGCATAGGAATAATTAAAAATTTGATCAGTTTGAATTGCATTAGAGCCATGTTAGTGGTATGCTACACCATTTGGACAGACAAATAACAATGAATTGGAATTTGGTGTCTCAAAGTCTTTTAAACCAGGTACTTCTGCAATGTACTAGTTTATTGCAAGTAGTGTTATTATACCTAGTGGAAGGGAAAGAGCCATCAGAGGCCACTGATCTTTGAGATATTCAAAAAGGATCTAAAAGAATTTCAAAATGGTAGAGCGGTGCACTGTAAAAAACAGTCTGAGCTCACTGAACTTCGAATAATAAGTTAAAGGAATGTAAAACACAGGTTACTGTTCTGTTCATTTGCAATTAGATGTTTAATGAACTCAAAATGTCAAAGTAACCAGATCACTAATATTTTAACAAATCATTTTAATGGAGCATGTTATAGCTAACTTTACCTTGCCTAACTGCTAACCTAGGTGCAGTTCAACAATGTGGGGTAACAAGCTATAACTTATAATTTCCATTTAGGGCAAAACATTAATATTTGATTTGAGACAGTACTACTCTACAAAAATACAGACGCTACATAGTGAAGTACATTGTAAATTGTATCAGAGTATAGTGCAGCAGTGCCTCAATTGAGATTCAGGTCATGTTTTGAGGCAGTCATGTTCTTGTTAAAAACAAAATCACAAAGACCAGGTGGGATTTAGTGCCTCCATTCCTTTGTGGTGTCCTGTGGAACCAATCAGACTCACTCTGCTTAATTCAATAATGAAACTGTACCAGATTCATTGGAGAAACTTAAACAGTATAAAACAGACACACACAATATCATTGCCAACTCATAATAATTCTAATAAGAGGGGCCCCACTTCGATGGACAAAAATCTCAGACTGAGATAAACTTGATGAGTGTAACATCAACATCAAGATGAGGAATATAATAATTTGCTTAATATCTGAAAGTAATTTGATTGCTCAAACTTAATTTGTGCTAGAACTTTCTAATAAGAGAAATGCATGAGTACTATGAGTGAACAAAGTTTAATTATATGAGGATAAAATATGTACAAAATCCTGAAATCAGGCAAGATGAACCAAAGAAATAAGGGCAGTGAATGGAAAGTATAATGCAAAAAGGCTCTATGCTGACAGACACATTGTCATTTACTGAGAGACTATAAAGCAGTACGTTAATAGGTTCACCAAATATTCAGAGGACGTAAAATTGGCAAAGAGCAGCATTAAATTCTGTCAAACTTAGAGGCTACAGATAAGCAACAGCAGGCATATTCATTGTGATAAATATGGGTGGACTACCACGCCAACATTGGAAAAGGTACTGGCAAGGAGAACGCCACCGGCTCCTCCTGAAAGTCAGCAACTCTACTCACTTACCAATTTATGCTGACATTTTCAACCCTGAAGCCATTTGTCTGCCATCAAGATGGCCAATATGGAAGAACTCTCTCCTTGAGGTTTTAAATATGAGATATAACCAACCTGGTTTCAACCTCCCAAAAAATTAGCAGTCCAGACCCTGGTCCTGCATTGTCCATGGCACTGTACATTCATGGAATTTATTCCAAAGTTCCATGCATGATTTTACTATGCATTTGACACCAAACATGACATTATTGCTGAAAAGTAAAACAGATGGATTACATATTCATGCAACATAGAACTATTACAGGATACTATGAACGTTCTATGCAATTTCCAGTTCAAAATATGATATGAGAAAGTGTCTTTACAGCATTATTCTGGTTTACCTCCTATTCAAATTCCTTGGTGCGTGCTTTGGCTTTATTTTGCTGCATATTTTTCTTATCAGGTAGAAACGTAGATCAATGGCTTTTTATCTGTCCTTCCTTTACTGATAACAAAGGAGTAAAGACATCTGTCAGAAAATACCATATAAATACCTTTGAGCCACCCCTGGATGAACCACAATAGTAGCCTGTATTGAGAATTGTGGAAGGTTACAAGAAAGGAATAAAACCTGTCTTTTGCCCTTGATGAACCCAATGCTGAACCAAGTGGTGAGAGGTTACAGGATGTACTTTGAGGGACTGTAGCACTCCTACACTGCTGATAACCCACTGATCAGACAAAAATACCATCTGTGCCATCTGCAGACTACAATACACTGCAAATACGAACATTCACATAGATCAGGTTTTGATTTCACTTGGATGGCTAAACTCATGGGGTGTTTATTTTGGAGGATCGTGATTGAATTAGAGTTGTGACAGTGGCTGCATGAACACCACAGAGACATGATTCTTATTGCATTAGTCACTCATTCTCAGACAAAGCCAGGCAAAGGAAATTCCATTACCTCGCTATTAAAAACAGAATCGATTTTATCTAAATTGTGAGCAACACATTTATTTCGTGAATAATGCGTCTCACCAGCGTCAACTTGGACACCAAGCTCTCTATTACTCATTTCATTCAACCAATTCTTTGTTGAGGCCTAGCATATTGAATTACACAAAATTACAAATGATCCAAAATATATCAATATTGAACTAGTCAATGGTAATAAATAAATGATCAGAGAGTGCAGAAGATGTTAATTCGCATGCAAGCTCATGAAACTTACAAACACAGTATGTACACTGCATCCCTCTCCAGCTACAGAGAGCATTTGCTGACAGCGAAGAAAAAAAAAGTATGTGATTTATCTTTTCATTGATGCATTCTTACCTAATGGTAATGCGACAATTAACAAAACATTAGCTGTGCTCTACAGGCAATTAGGCAGCCACAGTGATGTAGGAAAATGGTTGCATATAGATAATTACAAAGGAGTTCTGATCATCAGCACTCTGTCCTTCTCAATACTGCATCATCCCAAACCGCTGGCAGAGGCGCCGAGGGTGCACAAAGAAAATAATCCCATGAAATATTCAGCAGGGAAAAAACATCACTCGTAAAGAAGGAGAGAGGGACTCTCTCTCTATCTCCCTCTCTATGTCTCTCGTCACCTCCCTTTCCCTCTCTCTCTCTCTATCTCACTCTCACTCTTTCTCTCTCTCTCTTTCTGTCTCACTCTGTTTCCTTCTCTGTCTCATCTCTCTCTCTCTCTCTCTCTCTCTCTCTCTCTCTCTCTCTCTCTCTCTCTCTCTCTCTCTCTCTCCACTGCTGTTCTTGGGTTATTGAAAGTAAACAGCACAGGGTGGCACATAGGAGAAAAAACAGGGCCTGCCCAGCCCTGAGACAGTGGCGGGGAAAAATGAAGCATGCTGGAGGATATGTATCTGTAATAAAAATGACCATAAAGAGGATGAATGACAGCAGGGATAATAGCAGGCCAAGCTCGCACTAAAGAAAAGGAGTTTGGGGAAGCAAAGAGCAGAGCATCATTTAGACAAGTGACCTCACCAGGACAAAAACAGCCCATATGGGGAAAGGAGGGGGGGGTTAAGGGGGGGTCAACCTTGAGGGGTTTGTGTGTTTGTGCGTAGATTCTGTAACTTGTGTATAAAGTTGAGGTTGGCAGCAAAGGACTCTAGGCAGCTGTCCCACTACAGAACAAAAAGAGGGAAAAATATTGCATTTTCTCAACAAGATTTCCAGGCTTTAGTGGAGAAGAACAAAAGGCACGACCCCCATTTTGTCAGTTTTCAGTGTGGGGGAGCAAGCACACAACAGGAGATGCCAGGAGATATCTGATGTGATGAATTGGCTAGGAACATGGTGGTGCTTTTAAAGCACTGTAGCAGCTCAACTCAGATGGCTCCAAGGGCCACTGCAGTCTAGTGGAGCTGTCAGCCTCTCACAGAGCAACAGTGTGCTAATACCCTGGAAAGTGTATGGTTGATTATCATGTCTGTTGTTAGTCTGTTTTGAAAGGTCACTGTTCCTCTTGCACGCCAATCTAGTATTCATGCCTGGGAAATCAAAGCGCTCATGAATGCATGCTTAAATGTGCTAGATATGCCAGATAAAGAGATAGACGCAGTGCAGAGACCTAAAATGTATATGTGTATGCATGCATAAATAAATGTAGTATCCTCCTGTGTGTATGAGTGTGAATGTGTGCATATGTGTACCCTAAGGAAGGGAGAAGTAGTATAAGTACTTGTGCACATTTGTATCTTGTGGTATCAGCTGAGGTTGGTGACAATAAAATAGGGCTTCATTGCCAATATTTTCTCCAGTTCCATTAAATTGACAAAAACACAATATGTTGTTCAGGCCTACCTATGAAAGGCATATTGAGCATATTGCAGTGAAAAATGGAGAATATATATGATGTTTTCTCTGTATTTATACTGCGCTCTGTGTATTATATGAATGAATGAACGTGTGCCCTCTTGTCTGTGAGAATTTAGGCCGGGTTCTGTGCAGGTTCAGGACTGATAGAGAGGCTTCTGTATGCGGACTCCTTACATGGGCTGAGGAGAGTCAAGGAGCACACAGAGGTCCTGCAGCACACACTAACAGAGTTAGCAGTAGCGCCCTACCTACAGGAGATCGGCCCTGCTGACACTTCCCTGGTGAGCCTGATGCCTTGTTCATGTATCTCCCCATTTAGATAAGAGCTGAACATGATTACAGCTACAAATACATGACATTGTCAGTGCACATTAAAACACTGTTAGAACTGCACCCTTAAATACATATGTCACATGTCATAATGTGGTCATCCCTTTGAAATATGCCCACAATCAGACCAGACAAGTCCAGCTCCTTCTCAACCATCTTTAACCATAAGCTAGAGCCAATTGGGGAACAGCTTTAAAGGGTAACTGCTGTTGTAGAGGAGGGTGAGCGGCGGGCAAGTCTCCCAGGCCCTCTGCCCCTGTTATCACACAGCACTCGGGCTGCGCGACTAGCCTAGCTTGTTTTAATAAAGTCCTGAATTATGCATGCCAATAAGCAGGGCTTTGTTTTGAATATTTATGAGACAGCAGGGAAAGCCAGGGAGGGAAATAGAAGGCGGATGCTTTTTGTGCGCACATGTATAAGAACAAGGGAAAAGGAAAGAAATGGAGATAGAAGGAGGAGGTGGCTCAAAGCTGGTTCCGGTATACAGTACTGATGCTCAATAATTGCCTCTTTACTAGATTAGTGTCGCACAGTGGTAAGCTTAGCCTAAATCAATGCAGCGTGATGCATGTGATATTGCAACCAAATCTGCCATGAATAGGGAACCGTGGGGGCGTCCAATTAGTGGGATGTTTATATGGGCTCAATAGGGCATAGCTCAGAATCATAGTGGTAAATTAGAAAGTAACTCCATTCGGGCCAAATTGATGGTAAAATAGGAAATGTATTCATACTATACGCATCTAGCATTGATACATACTTTTAAGGTGCATGAGATTAACTTTGACAAGGGGCATAAATACTTTGGAAACTGTGGTGTTGCTAGATATAAAGATGCAAAGGTTCAGCATCCTGCTGGCTCAGGCTATGTATAACTGACCAGCTGAGGTCCAAAATAAGTAGTTTAATGTTCTCTTTCTCATCTTCTCTGGAGTCTTAATAATTCAGGACGCAGGATTATTTTTTTTGAGTGCCCCTGGAGAAGGCTCTCTCTCTCTCAGTGGCATGGGGTGAGATAAAAAACCCAACTGAACAGCGCTCACAGGTGACCTGCCACTTCCTTATCCTGTTCTTCAGAGTGCTGTATGCCTCCACTCTCTTTCTTTCTCCACCTTTTCTCTCTCCATACTCTCCATCCCATTGCTGCAGACAAGTGGAGCTCAGTGGGCTGTCCCATGTATATTACTTCCTTTCCCTTGCAGTGATGGACGAGTGGTGTTTGTCAATTTGTCCACATTGTCTAGCCCCTCAAACGAGGCTTGTGGGGGGAAAAAAGGCCTCTCTCTCTCCTCTGCCCTAGCAGCAGCCAAGGGGATTGACATGGCAGTCCTCATTGTATGAGGAATGAGTTATAAAAATCGGCCGCCAACAAATGATTTTTTAATTAGCCTTTAAGGCGCTGTGTTTAGAGAAGTTATGGTGGACGCGTGAATTGCGCTCTGATAATCTTTATCTCTGGCCCACAGCTGCAGGCTCTAATGGCAGACACCATGGACACCCTTGGAGGCAAGCGGCCTGATCAGGAACGTGTGTGGAATGCAATGCAAAAGGTAAATAGAGGGAGAAAGGGAAAAGGACAATGAGTGTGTGCAAATGCCACGGCGTACACACACACACACACACACACACACACAGTGTCACACAGAACCATCATCCTGTACAATGTCCAGTGAATATTCTGCACATGCCCCTCAGGAATCAAAAGAAAGATTTGACATATCAAATCAGAGAAAGAGAAGGGAAAAAATGAATGTTGTGTGCTTCAATGAGAGTGTGTGCATGTGCGTATCTGTAGGGAGTTTCTCTTGGCATGGCTGTCACCTCTGTTAGGATTAATCAGAGGCTTCTGAACTTGCAAATGGCAAGCCTGTCAGATGGGGGAGGTGGCTATTTGAAATTTCTGTCCAAATTACATTCTCTCGTTAATTAGCATGGCTCTGGCATTTGAAATCGTTACTTAGAGCAAGAAAATGAAAGCCCTTTCCCAGCAAAAAGCCTAAAAGTACGATCTCTGAATCAAAAGCGCTGCATATTGCTGCTTTTCAACTGTCCTCCTAAGGCGGAATCAGTTTTTTCAGCCCTATTTCCCACATCTTGCCTGGTTGAATTTCCACTGACCCCCCACTCATGTGAATAAGTACTACTAGTGAATATTCAAGTGCTGAGCTTGGATGAAGATTCATAGTGTCAGTTGTGGTAGAAGCATCACACTGGGGAGGTACTATGGTTCAAGCTAAAAAAATGGCTTAGGTAGAAGCTGGGTAAATTCACTTGTCTTTGTTATAGAGAATGGCTGTACTGACTGCAAAGAATCATGTTTGCATCTTGAGGAGCAGGTTAGGAGACATAGTTCTTCACACTTTCTTCATACTTTACTTACCTTCAAGTAAGTGTTTGAAAGCCTTGTAATGTCCTTGTTTCATCCAAAACATCCCAAAAGTGTTTATGTGAGCTTAGTGCTAGCATGTTATTAGAAATCCCACAGTGGTACAGAAATTAGTGTTATCATAGAGGTGTTTTTTACCATTTGACATCTAGGCCTCACTCTAATAGCCATGGTCTGCCAATGCATTTAGCTAAACATTACATAATTATTTATATGTTTTTACATAATTGCAAAATGTCATGTGATTTTACATTTTAATTATAAAATATTATAGTTAGTTCTGTAATTAATTGCATTTAGCTGTATTCAGTTTACATTCTGCATTAACACGTTTAAACCTGACTGTATTTGCATTTGTTTTGATGTCAGTGACAACGGTTGGTTTTTTCTTCAAGCATATAAAGGTTATGTGCATAGCAGTACATTTTTGCCAAATTGAAATCCTAACAAAAATATCTACTCTTCTATTTACAAACATAAATATGGTGTTGATTGAAAATTTACAATCTGCTCTTTAGACAGTTTTCTCCACTTGTTTTAATGAACTACAAGCAAGAATTAATTAAACTAAATAAATGTTGATGTAGAAGCAGTTTGGAGCCTCTGAGGATGTTGTGTTGAAAGAACTGAAGTAAATGTGAAATTGTGAGTGCAGTTATGGGAGCAGTTAGAAAATTTACACAGGAGCCACATGGTGCTGTTAGTTCTGACAAGTTAGCATTTAGCATCTGAGTGGTTTGTGTTTCAGGATCTGAGCAACGGTAACAAGCTGATGGGGGTGTTGGTTTTGGCCTGGGCTCTCTGGGGCCCCGCGGTGTCTGAGCCTGTGATGGTGATGAATAGCGTTGGGCCCGAAGAGCTGACACTCACACACTCAGACAGTGCATCAGCGGGCCAGTCGCTCCCAGCCACAGCCTAGTGTGTCGCCGGGGGTTACTGATGGGCCTTATTAATCACCCCATCAGGCTTCAGCACCTCAGTGCTGCTCCACTCCCTTACACACACACACACACTCTCTTACAAACGGCCTGCTTTCACTCCAGATCTGTCCCATACATCATCCACCGCTGGAGCTGGGGAGCCAAGAGGGCAGGGTTGAGACTGATCTCAGAGCAACCACAGTTTAAATACTAAAAGCAGAAATATGGGACTCTGACGCTGAACACTTGAACACACTATGATCACACTTCAGAAGAGGTAGAGCAATATATCCTGCCTTCTAATCACCTTGCAAACACTGTCTCATTTAGAGATTACTGATTACCAGATGTAATGCACCTTTCTTTTTTAGCAGATATACGTAAATTTGTGACGTTAGCTAAGTCTATTCTATTATTATTTCATCTACAACTCGTTTCCAAAAAGGTTTGGGTTGCTGCACAAAATGTAAACAAAAAACATGCAACAATGCGCAAATCATTCAAACACCATATTTAATTGAAAATAGTACAAAGACAACCAATCAAATGTTGAAAGTGAGTAATTATAATGTTTTTTGAAAAATATATGCCCATTTTGAATTTGATGCCAGGAACACATTTCAAAAAAGTTGGGACAGGAATGTTTACCTATTCTTTTAACAACACTCCGTAAGCATTTGAGAACTGAGAAGACTAATTGCTGTTGTTTTGAAAGTAAAATGTTCCCCATTCTTGCTTGATATAGGATTGTAGCTGCTCAATAGTTTGGGGTCTTCTTTGTTGAATTTTTCATTTCATAATTCACCAAATGTTTTCAATGGGTGACTGGATGGCAGGCAGGCCAGTTTATCACCTGGACTCTTTTACTGTGAAGCCATGCTGTTATGAAACTTGCAGGATGTGATTTGGCATTGTCTTGCTGAAATAAGCAAGGCTTTCCCTGAAAAAGACATTGTCTGACTGGCAGTTTATGTTGTTCCAACACCAGTATATAACATTCAGCATTAATGGTACTTTCACAGATGTGCAAATCACCCATGCAATGTGCACTAATGCACCCCCATACCATCACAGACACTGGCTTTTGAACTGTGCACTGATAACAAGCCGGCTGGTCCCTCTCGTCTTTAGCCCAAAGGATGCAATGTCTATCATGTCCAAAAAGAATTTAAAATTTCAAACAGGACACTTTTCCACTTTGCCTCTGTCTGTCTTAAATGAGCTTGGGCCCAGAGAAGGCAGAAGCATTTCTGGATCTTGTCTATATACAGTTTCTTCTTTGCGTGGTAGGGTTTTAGTTTGTATTTGTGAATGTTTGCATTGTCCCTTAAAAACAGATTTCTCTGGGTTCTCTAAATCACTTAATGATATTTTGTACTTTCTAATGATATTATGTCTTCAAGTTCTTTGCTATTTTATGTTGAGAAATGTTATTCTTGAATTGTTGCACTATTTGCCTGTGCAGTCTTTCACTGAGTGGTGAACCCCTCTCCATCTTTACTTATGAAAGGCTCAGACTCTCTGGGATGCTCTGCTTATACCCAAACATGTTACTCACCTGTTGCCAGTTAACCTGTAGTTGTTAGATGTCTCACAAGGTGCTTTTTTGGCATTACAAAACTTTACCAGTCTTTTGTTGCCCCTGTTCCAACTTTTTTGAAATTCCAAAAAAACAATAAACATTCTCAGTTTTAACATTTGATATGTTGTTTCAATTAAATATAATGTTTAAATAATTGCTCATCATTGCATTCCGTTTTGATTTACATTTTGCACAGCGTTCCAACTTTTTTGGAAATGGGATTGTAGTTTATTTCATAGTCAAATTACTGAATTTATTAAATGCTGAAGGAAAACTGTGTATTCTCATAAACTTCATTAACAGAGCTCTACACACAAATGCATAAAGAACAACCTTAAAGGCTGAAAATGTGATTTGCATTGGTAATAAACAGTGGAATCAAGTTTCTCACTAAAGCAAACTTTAAGAGAGCTTGTTTGGAAAATTGGGCACCTACAGTATTGTACAAAAGACCACCTTTGTTTATGTAATTTCGAGTGAAAATTTTTTCAGCGGCAGGAAAAAAGCAGAAACATATATTGACAGAAACTTACACAGAAGTATCAATAACTAACAATATTTTTTTCAGTATTCACCCTTTGCCTTTATTACAGCTTCCATTGTTTTTCTTTGTAAAGAAATCTGCAGTCTTACATTTTCTGTGTCTGTGATCCACGTAATCCCAAACACATACCAAAAATGTTGAGGTCTGGGCTCTGGGGTGACCAGTCCATTATTCTGAGAAAACTCAGCTAGCATTGAGTTGTCTTCTTACAGTGAATGGGTGGACAGAAACAGCTGTAGATTTTTTTCAGATTTTTCAAGAGTGGAGCTTGATTTTTTTCCTGTCTCTCAAAGATGAAAGCTTTAAGTACTGTTTATCTGATGGTGACAGTTTTGGTGGTCTATCTGGTCATGATAGGAGTTGCTGACAGTTGTCCCTCATGTTCTCTGCTATTGTCAGTTATTTTGCTTTGACTTTCCCCATTCTTAGACCTTAATCTCCTCTGAAATATCTCCTGAAAAATTAATGAGTACTTGATGGCTGTTTTAACTGGAAATTAAATAAATTAAGGGTGGTCTCTGACTTTTGCACAATACTGCAGAATGTCTTCTCTTTGTGGAAATGGAAATAAAATATCTTATGTAAATTAAAATGAATTAGCAAATTCTGTGATTGTAGCTTGAGGGAGAGGACACTTGTCTTCAAGGAGACCCATATATTGTTTTATTCCAGAGCGTCTGCTTTCTCATGAACCTGCCCTTTTTATAGCAAAGGGATATTAAGAATTAAAACCCAGTCCACCTCATAAACTTCATGAATCATGGAAAATCATGAAAGCTCTAAAACCCTGAAATTCCTAATCAGTGATCAAACTAGTTCATATATTTTGTAAATGGTGGCAAACCCTACCTCATGTAATGGCACAGGAATGTGGGTAATTTATGAGGCTTGGTAACACTGCCTTGGCAGAAGTAAAACAGAGCAACACTTCATTTTTACTCGTCCAGGACTCTGTTTGCTAAAAGCTAAATCAAAAAGTCTTTAGCTGACAAACACGATGATGGCTGTGTTTTGACACCCTGTGCCCCAAAACGATTGCTTTGCTTGTCTTTGCTTTGATAAGTCATTGGATGCAGATGCTCAGACCACCTGGTCCATCAGCCTGAAATAAATGCACTCTGGCCCATTCCTGCATGCAGTGCCCTGAACATCCGTGAGTGGCGGAAATATCTGTGAGTAACACACACTTGGGAGGAGTGTTTTACACCTCGGTGCGCCACATTGTATTTCCTCCTCTCGTCCCTGAAATGAGTGAAAGTGATGCATGGCTAGGGCTTTTATGCTATGGTGCCCATGGGCATGGTCTGGAGGAAAGATAAAAATAATCAAGGCCTTAAAAGGGCTTTGGAAAAATGTGACCTATAAGAGCAAACATTTGAATATCTATCAGCCAACAGTGTATGAAAAAGATTGCCAAAAAAGGTCAGTAGTGGGTTGGAGAGGAGGCGTGCCATTAACAAGGGTGCATAGTTTGCAGCCAGTAAGAGCTGGTCTTCTGGCTCTGCAGTGGAGACCTTTTGTTTTGGGTGCAGCGCTGATGGAGGCTGACAGCTTTGATGGGCGTTTTGACAGCTTTCATATCAGACATGAGGCCTGCAGGCTGCCTATAAAACTGCACCAGTCAGAACCGGGTCTTGTGAAGGCTCACCGAGTGTGTGTGTGTGTTTGTTGGTGCTTCTGTCTCACTTCTCTGTCTTTCCCTCCCTCTATCTCCCTTTCTCCCTCTTCTACTCACTCACTCACTCACACGTAGCAGAGATGCAAGCTGCACATTAATAGAAGATCTAATGGTTCTTCAGTCGGAGCCTGGCTCTGTTCTGTATGTATGTGTGTTTGTGTGTGCATGTACGTGAGCGCTCTCAGTGTCCACTGCTCCATTAGAGAAGTGGGAGAGAGAGTGCATTTAGGAAGTGGAATGACTGCAAAGGCCACTCCTGTGCTGAATTTACATCGGTCCCCAGAGGAAAAACCTCTCAGACTAAAACAGTCTTGGGCTGAATTCAGACCACCTTGGTAAACAGACCTTACTGCCTCACCCTGGCCCTCTGTCTACTAGACTATCTCTCTCTTCTAGCCTTCCCTCACTTTAGAAGCTTTTCTTTTCTATTGTATCTCTTGTCTCCGAATAGCCTTTTTAATTCATCTCTTCATCGTGCATTCACTTTCATATTTCACTCCCACTTCTCTCCTATTCTCTGAAGCGGACAAAAAAAACACTCCATGTGCTTGTGCTCGTCTATTCCAAAACGAGGTAGAAAGGGGAGTGCAGCCCCATCCCTCTGTCTTGAGGAGGTAATTAAGTCTCCAAGGGGGGCTTGCCATGGCCAGAAGGAAAAAAAAAGCGTTGATCTGTAACCCTCTTGATAGCTGGTCTGCATGTAAAGCATGATGACTATTGTGCATTTCTGGCCTGAGCTGATTTCAGAGTTTTCTGTGTGTGTATGTGTGTGTGTTGCTCTTAAAGGTGGGACTGATTGAGGACATGCTGTATCAGTGGGAGAAGACCTACGTGAAGAATAAGGCTCTCAGGGCTGCATGGAAACAAAAGGCCAAGGAGAGAAAAGCATTGAAAGAGCCAAAAAAGGGGCTTTCTGTGAAACCGGTCCTGCAGGGGGTTCCCCAAGCCCAGTCTGAACCAGACCCCAGCTCCAGCGAGCTCCACTCAGTTTCATCTCCTTACACAACACCCAACCCACCTTCTGCACTCCGTACTCCAGACACAGCCACTCATCTTCAGAGGGAGCCTCCAGCAGCCCCTATTACTCCACACTGACAGAAATAAATGGGCTCTGCAGCTCGGCCATCTCTCTGATTTAGGGTCTCCTTTTTTAACCTACCTCCCCTTGTTTACCAGTCACGCGCAGTGTCTCCAGCTGAGCTCTACAGGCAAAGAAGGCCTTCTCTCCCGGGAAGAAATGCATGGGTGGGGTTGTTCAATTTAAGCACAAGTGGGTACCTGCTCTTTTTGTGCCCTTCTGTGCATATAAAGTAATTTATGGTTTATAAACAGAAATTAACTATGATTTACTGCTATAAAGACAAAAAAACAAGCCCCTCTGCGATAAAACACATGAGATTCAGTCAAATGAATGAGTTTATTTGATGATAAAAATACGTAAAACACTGCACCACAGCCATTATGCACAGCATGAAGGGCAAAAACACAACAAAACCATAGAGCTTATTTCAGCTCTGGTTGGAGAATGTTAACCACTAAAGCCCTACAGTGGCCCCAAAAAATATTCGGACATTTGCATCATACTCAAAATGTATAAGTTCATTGTGTTGGGTAACAAAATATAAAACTAAGTGTCATTCATTTTAAACAAATTTTTGTAAAAGTATTCTTTCAATAGGCAGTTAGTGTGTTTCAGATTGTTATCGATTGATCTGTTTCTTTGCAGTCTTCTGCAGGTGTGCATTCACAATGCATCTGTATGCTTCTGAGTTTAGGATCCCATCAATAAACACCAGCTATAAACAAAAACATCCTTTGATTTTCTATTTCCACTTCAGTGCTTTACAGTACACTAGTGCAGTATGGTTGGAATTCTTCTCCAGGCCTTCTACCTGCAAAGAGTCTATGGTTGGTTTATTGTTGTACTACAAATATTTTGTTAAACAAGTCACATAAAGAACTTTCTTAAAGCTTACCAATGGTTAAAGCGTCGAAAATTATATACGTATAAACCCTTTTCCATAATATTTGATTTTTGATAGAAAAGCACACCTGACTTATTTATATATAATAAATGATTATATAAATATAATTTTCTCAGGTGCCTAAACATATTGAACCAAGCTATATGTTTATTTATAAAACAGATCTGGTCCTAAAAATCTGTTTGGCTGAGCCGCGTTCCATATACGCACACTTATGAAAGCCTCACAACAACTGAATTGTGTATTACTACACCATGGCATGGAAAAAAAACAGTGTGTTGTTAATGGAATAATCTTTGACTCTAATGCTGCTTGCATGGACCACCAAGTATATTGATGAAGTAAGAACCCACTTTTTGTTTAAACCGAGGGGCTGGCGACTTATGTTCTTATCTAGAACTAGGCTGGTCAACTAGCAATTAACTACAACTAGAAATTGTAGCCTCTACAGCCAAATAGTGCATCATTTATCGAGTAAGGATGTGGCTGAGTCCCAAATGACTATTTCTTAGCTATATTTTGCACCGTTGGGGTGCAGGATCAAGTATTTAAATTCCTACGTAGTGCAATATGTTGGGAGCAGGGAGCCATTTGAGATTCAGCCCTAGTGTTCTAAACTCCCTTCCCTATGATAAAATCGCAGTAACACACGGCATGTCGTGGCTTATTGATTTAACGTGTGTGTAACACTTACCCTGAAACATTTACAAAATGTAGAGTAGCTGGCTTTTTCAAAAAGTGTAAAGAGTACCTTGACTGTTTTCTTCATTTTTTACATATTTAATTCCTTTTTTGCCTCAGTGTTACTGACTACCAACTTTTGATACTAGTAGGTTAATATGCCCTAGAAGTGATTCACCAAGGGTTCAACAAGGATAACTGAATAATAAACCTGCAGTTTAAAGGGTTAATGTCAGCATTTTGGTGATCACTGCTATCTTTGCTAACAGGATTTTAAAGACAACGTTCTAGATTCTGCATTTCATTGCTTCATGTGGTTAGGACCTCTTTTCGGGCTTACGTGTATAGTTTGTAGTGGCACTATCAGCTAAATGTACAAGGTGGGATTGATCATGTAGATCCAAACGTGTTGAGTAAACACCATCAGTGGAGCCCCAGTCACTCACATGCTACACGCTACATCAATCATCCAGCACCGCCCCTACACACACACATACATACATACATACACCACAGGAGCTGTTCTCGGGCATTAGCTGTATTGACAGTGAGTGCTCTTCTCAATACCGAATGCAACACACACACACCTCCACATTTAACTCATTGCTGATTCACTTGCTGAGGCCCTTGACTTTGTGACATGCCAGCACTATTAACCAAGCCCTATTATAGACACACTTTGCTTATACAGAGCTTAGTCCTTAATCTGTTTTGAATGGGCCGGGCTGTGCCTAAAGGCAATTAGAGTCTGGCAGCTAGTGACAGAGGTTTGTAGAATGTTGTGATCAGCAATAAGAGTGCCTATTCATTTCAATGCAGAATAAATTAATGGCGCTTATCGAGTGGTCAGAAGGGGAAACCATTTGCGTTGTACAGTATTGGCATGTTGTAGAGATTAATTATACCCATGGTGTTTTGTAATTGATAAACAATTATTATAATCCCAGCTTACATGTATAATGCATAAAGGCATAAGGGAAATGTGTTGAATGTGCCGAGCCATAGTGGGGCTATAAAAAGAATTTTTGATGGAGAATGTGTTTGGAGAGAGAATGAAAATGGGATTTGATAAACCCTGGCCAAATGTGTGCCAGTCCTACGTTTCCTTCTCTTTTAAACAGCTCTCCTTTTCTTTAATCAGACCTGTTTCAAAATTTTGACTTTACAATTGAATATCGGAAGGCTGGCAAGAATCTCAAGCAGGAATTAATAAGTAGAACAGCACAGCAAAACATTTAAATATCAATTTACCAATTGTGTATTATTTGATAGGTAAATGAGATTCTGCCATCACTAAATATAAATCCGTCCATCTTTGTAGGGTTTTTTTTTTTAACTCTTTTTCTGTTTCTGGCAGCAGTTCATCTGATAAGATTTTTAAATTAGTATCTGAAAATAACGACTAATTTTCTTGAAATATTGACTTAGTATGTGGGAAAAATGACTTACTTTTTTGAGATATTTAGTTATTAAACTGAAATTCTCACATCCTATGTAGTAATAAGTTATTAAATTACAAAATTGTAAGTAATTATTTCATGCATATTATAATAAGTCATTTTTGACATAAGTCAAAATGTTGGGAAAATTTAGGTAAGTATTTTAGTCATTATGGCCTGGTGGGAATGGGCTGCCATAGAAAGGAGCTGAAATCAGAGATGTACTCAAACTTCCACTGGAATGTGCGCTTAATCTGCAGAATATTTCAGTAAATATAAGTATGCATACTTAAGCCACTTATAAAGCTCTGTACAAACACTGGCATGACTTCCCTCTTTACATTTGCTTGACTTCAGTGGAATTCAAGTTAACATATTGGTGAGCTGGACTCTGGAGCTAGCTCTGGTCATGTGTTATATTTAGTGCCAAAAAGTTGAATTTATCTGTATTCAGAAATGTTTTCTGATTATTTATGCATCTATGGCAAAATGGATTCAGTGGGAGGAGTAAAGATGTCTATTCTTCATTCAGCAGGGCTGCACGCTCAGAGAATAGACGCTTCAAATGGCAGCCGTATGTGTGAAATGTCATTTTTCTCTGGAGGCAGATATTACACATTGTAGTTTGGCCCCTTAATGAATATTTACATGAATGAAAAAAGGAGTGGGTGGGTTGAGTGCACTGACTAACTCAGCAACAAGAAAAAAAATCACTCACAAAAAGATGAGATCAGAAGATCAGAGGGTATTAGGGCTGTTTTACCAATAAATATCCAATTGTGCGTACGTGTGTGCGTGTGGAAGGGCGGGCAGTGAGTTTGGCTGACAGACAAGAGAGCGAGGGAGGTAGGGAGGGATCGCTTTAAGTGCAGACAGGATAAACTGTTTGCTTGGAGCCCTGGAGAACACGCTGGTAAACATCTTTCCCCGCCATGTTTCTCCACAAATGTGAAGTTGGAGGAATAATCCTTCTGATCGAGTGTGGCACAGACGCAACAGTGCTGCTGTAGTGGGAGAACAGAAAGGAACTGAAAACAGAGTCACTCAGAAAACCTGCCACTGGAGTGTGCACACAATTCACAGCAGGATCTGAGCGCGTCTGATCTCAGGCTTGCCCCACAATCAGACCATGGAACGCAAACATGGAACTCTTCAGAATAACTTCACAGCATAAATATCCTGGAAGCTTTGCTGCAGCACTGTCTGAAACAGGTAACTTGATGTTCTGGAGATATCACATGAAATATGGAGAATGCAACAGCTGAAAAGGAGGTTTCTAGCACATGAAAGCATCCCAGTTCCATCTGATTCTCCCTAACATCCTCATCCTCAAAAACAAGCCAGGAACGCACAGGAACAGGAGTATTTTTACCTTCTTTGCGAAAATACGATAATGACCAGATATAACCCCTACCACTATGAGAAGAGCTGTGGAAGGTTGTAATGTTTTTGATCATCGTAACCCCACCATTTCAGTCCAATGACCTACAGACTGTCCTGTGGCCTATAAGCTATTCAGAGCAGGGACCGAGGTGCTGTTCAGGCAGGACATCCCAAGTGTTTAAGGAGGTACAATCTGATCCGTCCCTGCACAACCTCAGTGAATCAGCAGGGATTACCAGTGGCATTGAAATGACTGGCATTGAGCTGCTTCTCCATTTCGGTGATAACAGGCATCCGATAAGCAGAGGATACTGCATGTGGACACTGGTGAGAGGACAAGCGCAATGTTGATTGGCCTTCTTCTCTATTTGACCTCACAAATGGACATAAAGGCTTTAGACAATGTGATTTAAGTTCACAACATCATCAAACACTGTGCCACAGGTGGAGAGAAAACAAAAGATGTGAAGTTTTATAGTCTATACCAGCGGTTCTCAAACTGGAAGAAGTTTCAATTTTGTCGGCTTATCAAATCTTGGCCATATCTAAGAAGTGGTACTTGTTCATAGATTATTAAAGAGTTATCTGTAATGTAATGTAAACGACCCATGTGTCTTGTATATGTATGTCAATGTTATACAAGGTTCTGGTAAGACATGGTCCTTGTTTGCTAAATGAAAGCAATAGCAATAACTGAAAGCAGGAGGCAAGGGGGACACAGTGGAACTTACTATCCACAAAGGGTCTAAAAGGTTTGAGAACTGCTATTCTAAACTAAACTAGCGTCTGATTTCTCGAGGGTCGCTTAAATCTAGTGTTAGACAAAATTTCGGTGCCAATGGTGAATTGCCAATAGAAATTCCATTCAGTCTAGGCTTAAGCTCAGTCTGGCTCTGCAAAACAAGTCTTCCAAATATTAAATACATACTACTATCTCAGGGACTAAAGGTGAGATCTAAAAATAGGAAGCATTCGCGAAGCCAAGCAAATCACTTCTTCATCCAAGATTAAACAAATCTCCCCTTTAGCAGAGATGTTTGAGAGCCAAAAACCATGCTTCATGTAAGGGTGGCTGGATAAGGGTGCTTAGGATGATGCATTTGTTGCACATAATAGAAGAACAAATTACAGATTACTTTTACCCCTCCCAAGCACCAGCTATTGAACCTGTGCACGACGGAGCAATTTTAGTCTCAGAAATGCCAGCCTAGAGAGGTTCAGGGAAATTATACTTTATAATTATCCCCCCCAAACAAAGAGGAGAAATCGGAGTCCTCGGGTGGAAGAGTTTCTCGGGAGAAAGGAGCGTGTTTGAAGGCAACGGCAGGAGGAGAGAGTTGTCATCACACTCCAGTCTTTAAATAGCTAAAGTGTAGATGCTAGCAGAAGTAGAAAGGTGTGTATTTAGATTTGTCAGAGATCATTTTCCAACGTACACCTCGCGTAAGACATGCATTAGCTATGTGAGCTGACAGTGTTATGCAGTGGCTGTCTTCATGAGGAATATCTGAAAGGACTACTTAAAT